GCATTGATAGAATTGGATAAAGACAAGTTGATAAGGGTTCTGGATCATATCTTCATGCCTCCAAAACTGTTCAGTTGTGTTGTAATATGTTTTATATCACCTTAAACTTGTCTTAGCTTCTTACAACCAACAGTGGACTCAGTCAAAGCAGTTGGTGTTAAATGACAAAACCCACAAATTAAATCCTTTAACACTGAGGTTGCAGCTAGCTGCTGTTTTAATGATATTTGAAATGTATAGATGTGTCTGTTTTCTATCAAAAAATAAATGCAACTGGTGTTTTGGTTGACACTGAGCACCCTGCCACATGCACAGCTGTTGTGACTCACCTTCATATGTCCTTTAAGGTGTTTTAACACATCAAAGACATCAGCTGTGGGAGTCCTGCGCTGGAGGTGTTGATGCTTGATGTGATGCTTGGTGATGCAATATTGAAATCAATACAGGGTGCAGCAGAACATAATGTCAAAGGCAGCGAAGTAGCTCAGCACAGGGTTATAGTTAGTGTACATTTCCTGTGTTGCAACTGAGATCATTAGATTAAATAATCATCACATCCACCTTCAGACTTAGATTGAGCTACAGCCAGGCAGAGAACGGGTAAGATACCTGTGAAGGTTAGAATTAACACAAGACATAAATCAAACACGATTTAGATCATGCAATGTATTACTTATCCATATGTTCGGTGTAAGATGACATACAAGAGTGTGACAGAAAAGTGGTGTGGTTATACACAAACCCTGTCCTTTTGTAAACTGTCTGATAGGCAGTGTCCCTTCGCTTCCATCTGCATACACAAATGATATGGAGGATAATCTTTTGAGCCTTTAATCCACAGAAAAATCTCCCAAATAAAAGGAAATTAGCTGTCGAATTTAATTACGTATCATCAGTCCCTGCCACCTGTTGGTGTACCTATTCTTATCCTGCATGAGTGGTTGCTTCAGACACCAGCCGAAACGCTTTCATTTGTCTCCCTCTAAAGGTCCTTTCTGATCATGATCTCATTCATCACATCAATACACTGTAAACGGACACATTGTGACAGGCAGTTTCATTAGCTTTCTGATCAGACTCTCAGTTTTCTTCAGCCTAATTAAGCTTGTTAGGTATAAATGAAAACAAGACTCAAACTGAGAAGACGCAAGGATAGATAGATAGATAGATAGATAGATAGATAGATAGATAGATAGATAGATAGATAGATAGATAGATAGATAGATAGATAGATAGATAGATAGATAGATAGATATGATGTTGCCTGGCTATTCTTCTCTTTATAGCCAGTGATGTTCCTCATCCCCTTCCATACCTCTCTGTGCTGCAGCTTCCTCTCTACTTTCCTTTTGTGGTCCTCAAAGCGATGTGCTTTTACTCTGATGATAACAGACTTACATTCTTATTTCCTGTTTTGAACTGAACTCTAGTATGTTAACGTTTGCAGACACACTTTGCACACAGCCAGGAAGTTACTGAGCTTCTAATAGTAGATTTCCTTTAACTCAGAAGATGGCCAGAACAAAATTTCTCTGCTGAATGTGGCCCAATGTGTACACCCACATGCTCTGCATCACCTCTTCTGCTGTATGCCTCCATGCTTCTGCCTCTCATTGAGCTCCTTCAGATCAGCTTAACTCCTGCTTGAACAGGCTGGCTGATTAAAGCTGCCAAGACAGAAGATGGAACCCACTGCTCACAAAGCACAGACACAGTTAGTTTTGGATCCAGAAAAACAAGCTGACTTTCCCCTCAGCAGTCCTCCCATCCCCCCAGGAGATCCTATGTGTTCGACATCCATCTGTGGTATTAAGTGAGTTGTGCCTCGCCTCAGCGATGTTACTGCCTTTTGCTGGCTGTACCCCTGTGCCAAGGGTCTGCCGCTCTGCAGGCTTGTTGGCCTGCAGGGGAGGCAATCAGGGACACTGCTGCTCATGTCTGTGATGAATCAGGTCAAAATGATGGAGAGGAAATTGTTTAGAAGTTAATTTTGTCAATAATAGTAGTAATATATACAGTACATATCAGTAATTAATTATTGTATAGTTTGTTTAGCATTCAAATGAAAGTGAAAACACTGCCTGAGAGTGATGTTGTACAATGTCTTTAATCTTTTGTCCTTGACTTTTTGATAACTACAAGTATAATGCAAAAATAGCTCTGTGGTAGGTGAACTTCACCTCTTCACCTCTGTCAGCTGGGATCCAGCTCCCCCGTGACCCTCCAGGATGGATGGATAATACAAAAATTAAATATGAAAATAAGGAATTTAATAAAAATGTGTAATAAGTGTAATGACAATTTATTCAAAAGAAATTGAATAGAAAATAGCAAAAAACTGTTTTGTAAAGCTCAAGGTAATTTCATGATATTTGCTGTTTTGTCTAATTAACAGTTTAAAACCCAAAGATATTCAATTACATGAGAAAATCTGCAAACCCTTGCAACTGAGAAGGTGGAAAAATGGGGACATTTTTAATTGGTTTCCATGATAATTGTCAATTCATTTTCTGTGGATCAATGAATCTTTTATCTCAAAGAATTCAAATCATGTCTGGTTTTACAAAAATGAAGATGAAGATGGTCAGGCTGTCTAGGATTATGAAAATTAATTTGAGAATAAAGTTTGAAGAGGTTACTAAAATAAGTAATATTATATAGTAATTTAGTATAGTATAAGTAATATATAGTCTATGGTCTTCATGCTCAAGTGAGACATATTGAGAGAGCTGAGTCACCTGCGCAGTAAGACCACAGACTGGATAAAATAAGAGAAAAAGGTCTATGATTATAGTTGATTTTGACTTACTCCAAACTGACAGTGAAAGTCAGCTTTACACACAGTTACACACATTTTACCTGGGAGTTGCACCACTGGAGCAAATCTGGCCCGTCGTTATTAGGGAGTGAAGGTGTGTTCCTCCAATATTAAAGCTGCTGTGTCATCCTCTGAGGTACATCACATCAGATTTACATTATAAACTCTCTGAACTACAGAGCAGTTCCTGCACACACCGGAGAGCTGAATAGGTGAAGGAGGCCAAAGAGGCAACGGTCTAGTAAGAGAGGACAACTCCCACATTGCAAAACTTTTAATCGTCAGACTTTAATTAGGACCATTACCTTGACAGTTATAAGTATTGCAATGAGTTCATGAGCAGAAACTCTTTTCTCTTGAGTTGTTAGATGTCAAACTCCTGCGGGGCAGAGAAGAAAAGTCAGGCAACCTTGCAGCCACAAGGGGGCGCACTGACTTTACTTTCTAAACTCCTACTTGACCCAGTCAACTTCTCAGTGTCAGTGTCTCTGGGTCAGTGATTTTCAAATTAATCTGACAGGACCTCGATACTTCCTCTTTTCATGTTGCTGTACCGGATGAATTGGTGTGTGGACTTTTCCTCTCAGTCTCTGTGTTTACCTGACTCTTTAGTTTGCCTGGTCATTTCAACCAGATCCTGTTATTGTTATTGCCTTGTCACAAATGCACTAATGAGCCCTCTTCCTCTAATTGGACCATGACATGATGGGAAAATACCATGGGCATGATATGGTCCATCAACACTTCCAACCACAAGATACCCACAGTGCAGACCAGCCCTGACTTATAAAAATACATGACCACAGTAATCAGTCTGGCAGAGTAACAGGGTTCTTACCCATCGCTCCTCTGTAATGAAAGAAACTTACAGTAATACTGTAGACTTTAGAGCGAATCACAACCAAATGTCGTCAATCTATAGATCAGGAGAGGTCAGGACACACCCAGGGCGTCAATAAATTTAAGCGTTAAGGGTTCATGAGATGGTAAAAAAAAACCTTTTTCATGAAAATGTCATCTCTTTTTTAGTCTTTGAGGGTTTATCTCTTTATTTCATATGTTCGAAAAGTATTCAAATAAGACAAGAGATGAAAAAATAAATGGAAATTGAAACAGGGTCACAAGATCCGTACTTGTTTTGAGTGTCAAATTATAGTGACCTACAGGAAAAGTAATACTGCTATATTTGTTATATTTCGATAAAGACAGAAAAACGCAAGCGTAAACTACTAAAATTTACACAATAATAACTAATTGCTGCAGTGGTTCAGGGACAAATAGGGTCGTCAAACGGGTCGCCATATAATGTCACTGTCCTGAGGAGATACTGCAGAAAGACAACACTACCCAGGTTACTCAAGTGCAAGTAAACTCAATGACTATATACCATAACAGAAAATATTTGTTCATGGAAGACAGCCCATGTTTGTCCCTCGCTATTTACAATGTTCTTCACAGCGGTGGAAAAAACTAAGTGCATTTACTCAAGGACTGTAATTAAGTACAATTTTAAGGTACTTGTACTTTACTTGCGTATTTCTATTTCACAATACTTTGAACTTCTACTCCAATACATTTCAGGGGGGGTTATTTACTCATTTAATTCAGAGTTATACATTTGAGATGAGGAATTTATATACAAACCTATGATTTCAAAGTTGATAAAATATCTTCAGATACTACTAATCAAATACACTTTTGATACTTTAAATACATTTTGGTGATAATATGTACTTTTACTGGGGTAAAATTTTGATTGCAATACTTGAAACTGAGTGTTTATAAAGTGTGTTATTGCCAATTAAACATAAGAAAACAATCTAAAAACTTCTCCCACCACTGGTTGCTGTCATGTATTACCATGTACCACATATACATCATGGTAAACATCAGCTGGGCAAAATGAGGCTACTATGGTTTTAATGGCAGATAACCATAGAAACAGTAGACTACTTGACAACAAACCATGACTTAAAACAAACAAATCTTTTTTTTTTTGCTCCTTTTTCTCTTTTAAAGGCTGAACAATAAAATGCTCCACTGACCACCGAAGTAAAACAAATTACTTGTCTTCAGCTACCTTATGAGCATGTCCATATGGAATTGATTTGACAAACCAAGTCTGTGATGACATTGAGGTGTCCAGCTCACCCATTTGCTCAGAAGTGTGTGAGGTCAGCTGTCTGTCTGGCACAGATGTGTGTTGATGTGCTTCCAGCTGTTTGTGGGGACTCATGATGTCTGGACCTATGGTCTGGACTGGAGGATCCTCCCTGCAGCCTGTGAGATCATCACACTTTTAATTAGACCGGATCTGCCAATTAAAGGGAAGTCAGCCGTGCTCCCTCAGCCTTTTAAAAGCCAGCCAGCGTCTAAACCTCAGCAGCAGACAGACAGGAGCTCAAACAAGGTACGTTACTCTCTTTCCTCTCTTATCTCTCTGGATTTCAGCCATGAACATAAATCCACTACTGACACGAAGGAAATCAGATTTAATTATTCTTTTTGTCTCTCAGTTTCAGATATACATGAGGATGTCTTCTCCTGTACTTTGTGCTGTTATTTTGCTGGCTTGTGCCTTGTCCTTTAGTGCTGCTCAGAGTGAGTATAATTTGCGTGAAAAACACTTAAGCAAAATGACTTTTCTTTTGTATGCCGAGAGCCCGAAACATCAAACAAGATATTTTTTTTTAAAGAAGGGCTTTCCTGGTGTCATGTGTTTGCTGTGCTTGTACTCATTCATGTTTACTCTGTTGATAATTATTTACCAGAGGGTCAACCTACTGTATGTCAGTGTATTTTTTCACTACATCAGTATCTGGCAGAGTATTATTTACAGACCGATCCCTCAAGTCGACAAAGTTTAAAGGCTGCCATCTGATTTTCTGCCCTGCATTTTTAAATGGGTTTCCATGTACTCTGTGTAATTTACAGCAAGCTGCAAAGGACGATGTGGTGCTGAGTACTACAGGGGTTACATGTGCCAGTGTGATTATACCTGCCTGTCTTATGGAGAATGCTGCAAAGACTATGAATCTCAGTGCACCACAAGTGAGACTTTTCTCTCCTGACATACTATCACTACTGCTGCCAGTAATTGTTACTCACCCTACTGACATCAATATCCAAACATGTGTTGCTGATTTAAATTTTTTTTTTCAAGTTTGCAATGATTTTTTAAATTTTTTATATTAATCCCCATCCCTGAAGTGAGCAACGCATCATATACTGCCTTAACATGACTTATGAAAACAATCGGTGTAGTTTTATGGTGCAGGTCTGTTGAGATGAACCCTGCTATGTTTGTGTGCAACAGAAAACTCCTGTAAAGGTCGATGTGGAGAATCCTTCAAGAGAGGCCAGCTGTGCAGCTGCGACTCTGATTGCATAAAGTACAAGCAGTGTTGTCAGGATTACACAAGCCACTGCGATGCAGAGGGTAAGCCTTGCCCAACACATTCAGCATGATTGTCTGTGTGTGTTATTTTCTGCATGTTAACCTCTACAGGTTCCCTTCACAGTTTCGTACTCAGCGGTATCACCATAATAAGTGGTCATACATCTGTGGTGTTGTCTTCTAACATTTGTTGGTCATTTCATATGAACATAGTGACGGTCGTGTGAAAGCATGGCTGCATGTTAAAATCAGCCCTCACCTTTTTCAGTTGCACCATCATGCAATTATAATAATAGCAAGTTGAGATTAGGACATGTGCATGACTGGTGAAGTGCAAAGAAGCCAGGAATGATGTGACATGGCAACCTTGCATGTCCACCGGCATGTGGAGTAGCATGCAATGCATGCAGTAACCTGCACCGACGCATTGGTTTAAATTTTGACAATATTTTCTGTCTCAGTAATTACTACAGAAGAAATGAGTGGAGCAGCCAGTGCAACAGCACCAGTGAAGACTAGTTCATGTGATAATGTAAAAGATAACAAACCCAAAGGTATATTTTCTTGGCAAGAGGTTTGATTCTCACCACATTATTATTTCCAGTCGTTTAGGATGTAAGGGAAATCCGTTTTTACAGGGTTAGCTCTCTAACCTTTATTCATAAATATTCCCAGAGTCGCCACTGAATGTGGAGGAGACGTTCAGCGAGGGAAACAATGCAGGTGACTATGCTTCTGAAATTTTGATTCCCATGTCAGTAATCAACACACTTTGAACTATTCTCTATATAAACTGATGCAGTTTAGATTACTTAAATGATTCTTATGAGCTGAAGCCGATGAATTTAACAATACGTTTGACAGCAAGAAGGCTGGAAGCTGTTTATGGTTGACCACCACACTGTGGCTCTGTCGCTGTGGTTTGCTTTGAGGGCCAAGTCTCACCAGAACAGGCCAAGAGCGTTAGCCTCTCAGGCCAGAAGAAACACAAGGAAGCAGTGTTGTCATGAGTGTGTAGGAGGGTTACGGGCACAAGCTCAGTCACAAGAGAGGAAAGCACAAAACGAAGCCAAGAAACGACAAACATTTTCTTACTGGTTGTAATTCAGGAGTTGGCCTGCAACAGTTTTGTGGGTGGAGATAGTCTCGCATCCTTGTCGCTTCTCTCTCAGGAGGAAGACATGTTGTGACATTTCCGTCTGGAAAGTCACTGTCTGAGTGATGTGCATGCCCAAGTAAACAAATATAGGGGAAATAATGATAGCATTTAAAAAGATATTTGTGTTAAACTTTAACATTTACAGATGTGAATTTGGCTCATTTGTCCACAGATGACCATTTAAGCCCACTGGACAACCCAACATCATATCCACCTGATGATCCCATTGATGGTGAGCAATGATGCCTGTGGATAATAAATCAAGCAAAGCTCTTTCTCCAGTAAGTTTTCATGAGTGTGAGTGCAAACCTCTTCTCACTTCTCATGTTATTGTAGATACGAACAGCCAGATTGTTCCAGTTGATGACCTGTCCAACAACGGACTAGAGGATCCGGGGGCAAGTCCAATCCCTGAGGGCACCAGTGGTTATGGATCACCTACAGTTGACCTGCTGGTTCAAGGTTCTTCTGAACCCACCCAGGAGCCAGACACTCTGGAGCTCAGTACAGACACAGTTACAGTCTTTTCTCAGACAGAGGCGACTCCCTCAGACAATGAACCCACGCAGGCTGATGACAGCCCCTCCACCCTTTACATGACTAGTGGAGTAGCCCCCACTGAGAGCACAGGTATGTGATATCCGCAGATAACCTGGCACAAACAAGCAGAAAAGAAACCAGCATAAAGTTCAATGCTCTCTGGCATAGGTTCCCCAAGTCTCTGGACCCTACTGGGGGATGAACACCATTCTTTCAAAAGATATTCTTTGATATGGTTTTTTGATGACGGTGCCACCGTTATAATCCACAATCTCACTTAGTTGTTCAACCCAAAAATTCTCTTTTCTTCCCCTCATTATTCTAATCTTAACACTAAACCAAAAAAATAAAAATAATGACAAATTAAATACTGTAGTAATGAAGAAAAGAAGAGCAAACCTCCACCAAAGTACATTTAAGAATGTCAGTTATTTAATTCAATTTCATCAGTTTATCAGTCTTAGTCAATGCCTTTTATGTGACTTATATATAAGTTACCACTATACAGTGGTGTCATACAGTAGGTTTAAATTGTTTAATTTTAAGTTATTCTCCATGTTTGTGTGGAAAAGAAGTATTTTTCCAGAGAGGATGTTCATTATCAATCCATTCAGTGTATGAAAGCATCTGCATTTGTTACATCTCTCTTAATTTATGCAGGTTTTACTTTGTCACCCATCTGTACACACCGTCATTAATTTGATCATTTATTAACTTACCACAATTGATTCAAATTTAAGATTCGATAATCATTTTTGTTCCCCTCCAGATGCCAGTGATTCTGTCGACTCAACTAACGAAGGAACAACTCTCCCTCAGCCCACAACAGCAGCTGACGATGACTCCAGCCCGACTGCCCCGACCTCAGCACCCCAAACAGGGCTTTCTCCTGCAGCCAGCACCCCAGAGCTGGAGAAAGAAGGGCAGGCAACAGAACAACACAAGGATGACATATTTCCCGAGACACAGAACACAGACCCAACCGACGCCTCCTCTGATAATCCAGAAGTTACGACCCTACCCTCCAACACAGATGAATCTACAGGACTCACACAGGACTACACAGTCCTGGCAATGTCTCAGGACACCACAACCACTGCCTCATCAATGCTGGACCTGACACCCATCCCAGACGCAACCGCCTCAAACTCTGGACCAGATGGTACTGTGAGCAACTCAGAGGATCCCACAGCAGGCCCTCTCTCTGTTCTGGCTGACGCTACAGATGATGCTACACCACAAGCGACGACTGCCAATCCAATGGAAGTCACCTCAGACCCGAGCAAACACCAACCATCTGAACCCACTTCAAAACCCCAGGACAAACCTGACCAGTACAAGCCACCGCCGACTAAACCAACTCTGGTTAAACCGATCTCCAAACCCGAGACTAAGCCTCTGGACACTGCACAGACTCTGAACATTGACAATCCAAGGGACTACCAAGCAGGTAAGAAATGTTCTTATTGGTCCAGATTCTCAACACAAAACCTGTAGAGAACAAACCATCTCAAAGATTTAGACATTTATTTCCTGTAGTCTCTGCTAAGATGTAATCTGTTTTACATGAGTCTAACACTAGTGCAAAGACAGAGGCCTCTAGATTCTCTCTAGGCCTCTAGGTTTATGGGCTCAGTTGTTTTTTTCATTTTGCCTCTGGGTGAACAAAGCTTTCTTCAAAGTGTAGCTACATTATATTAAGTGACAGAAGTGGCTGTTTTTCCACACTGTTAGTAAATCACTCAGTCCTTTGAAATTCGAATTTAGGTTCAGATAATTTAAAGAATGGAAATAAAAAGCTCAAAGCAGGGAAAGCAGGAAAGCCCCAGGAAAAATAAATTACACTTCACACCCAGAAACTCAGTCTTATTGCTTTTTTATGTCCTTTTTTTTCCAGATGACAGTAACGATACAAACCTGTGCAGTGGACGGCCAGTCAGCGCAGTCACCACACTCAGGAACGGGACAATTGTGGTTTTCAGAGGTTAGTGCCAAGAAGGAGAATTATCATCGGTTAGGTCAAATACCACTTAATTAAAATACAAGAGAGCAGTGGTGGGAAGTACCTAAGTTTTCCAAGCACTACCTGTTTTTTGTTGTCGTTTTATTCTACTTTATAGTTGTACTTATACATTATATACATTTCAGAGGGACATACTGGAGCTTACGTTTTACAACAAGAGATTTATTTGAGAGCTATAGCTACTAGTTACTTTTAAAAATGAGGAATACATTATCAGTTAGTTGTATCAGTCCCACTGAATTTCATTTAAACATTAGAAAAATTTGAAAAGGTAAAATTATACAATATTTGACAAAAAGGCAAAACAATGAAAACAAATTTGTGCAGCAGAACTTTGCTTTTTCTTCTGTCTTAAAGGACATTAACTTAATTGGAAACCACTGGGCTAAAATACCTACCTGTACCCACCTCGCTCCACCTTAATATCTATAAAAGTAAAATGCGTTTTTGTCTCTGGCTCACAGTTAAACCCAACTGCTGATCCCTGCTTTATATAAAGGAGGACCAACTCTATGTTATTTTTATTTTATTTTACAGGGCACTACTTCTGGGTCCTGGACAGAAATAGGATGCCAGGTCCAGCTCAAGGCATCACACAAGTGTGGGGCGTCCCTTCACCCATCGACACAGTGTTCACTCGCTGCAACTGCCAGGGAAAAACATACATTTTCAGGGTAAACTGGATTTAAGGGATTTAACAGATGTGACTGTTTGGACTAATATCAAGGTGGATTTTTGCTGTTACAAACGTAATCCTGGCTCTCCTTTGATCTTACATCTTTACCCTTAAGCTCTCTTGGCCAGATATCCACTTCTGTAAAGTGCTGTACAGGTGCATCTTAGTTGCCCGAGGTTGAATGTTTTGGTTTGTGTTCATTTGATTTTGCAGGGAACCCAGTACTGGAGATTTGAAAATGCTGTTTTGGACCCTGGCTATCCTAAAGTGATTGAAATGGGCTTTGATGGGCTTCGGGGCCACATCACAGCTGCTCTGTCTGTGCCTCAGTACCAGACGAGGAGAGAGTCCGTCTACTTCTTCAAGAGAGGTGATGACTGTTGCTGTTGAGTGTTTTATCCTAATTAAACTAAAAAGACTAGTTTTACAGTGTTTCATTTCTTTGGTTCATTCAGGGGGATTGGTCCAGAAATATTCATACCAGTTTGGCACCGGTCCAACATGTGGCAGGAAACCCCAGCACACCATTTACACAGTCCGCCACAGGATGGTTCGACAAGCAGGTGCTACAACAATTCAAAATAAGAATGAGAAAGTCATAGTTGTCCTTGTGTTACGTACATTCATCTTAACAGTGGCATAAATTACATTCTATTTTTCTCTTTTGCTGCGTGTTTGCTGATTTGCTTAAAGACGAGTAAACATGTTTACTTTGTTACAACACATGTAGTTCTCTAAAAAAGTGAGTCATGCTTTGTGGAGGCGAGAGGGGCAGCGAGGTCCATCTCGTAAATAAGCCTGTGTGTAGTTCATGGGGTTATAACTGTTGAAGAGTTTTGTCAGAAAACATCAAAAACAAAATAATCTTTTAAATTAGATTAGATGGATTGTTAAACATTTAAAATGAAGAAAACAAGCCAGAGTGGTTTTCTCTCAATAGGCATTCACTCATTGCGCGCTGCTTTGTTTCCAGTGTCTCTTCTGGGCCCAACCATTAACATCCGGACGTCCTGGAGAGGTTTCCCCTCCACCGTCACAGCTGCTGTGTCCGTCCCCAACAGAGAACCAGAGGGATACAAATACTACGTCTTCTCTAGATGTAAGTCAATACATACCAGGACGGGGGTCAGATCTCTCATTTGAACAGAATCGTTCTCTTGCTGTGGAAAATTTTGATTTCAAGCTGTGATCTTGACATTGACGCCTTATACCGTGATTTAAAAAACACTGCTGTCAACGCAAGTCTCCCAATTTACAGAACTGATGTACAGTTGTGGTTTATTGGTTAAATAGCTCTTCCCTTCACTCCTCTGTTTATAACAATAACATTTAATTGCCCATTTTCAAAAGAACAAATTTCCCTTCACTTGTCTGTCTGCAAGACATTTGCTGACCTCATTCACATCATGTCTGAAAGGCCTAACGAGGCCCATGTGTGTCTGGGTGTGTTAGGGTGGGGGTTAGGCAGATGTAAAGGTCATTGAGGGTGGAGTCCATTCATCTATAGCTCAAGTTTATGGTGGAGTACCCACAAACAAAAAAGGTCCAGTTTGAATAAGTATTCCTGATTGCGGATGAATCACTACAGTGGATGTGTCATGTCAGGGGTTCATCGTCTAGTCACTTACATCATTCTAGAAAATTACAGCAATTCAATTCTGTAGCCAAAAGTTGTCAAAGTTAATGTCCTGAAAACTGTATGAGTCGGTTTCATGCCAAATTCATGTTCACTAAAATGGAAACTGGCATTTGCATGAAAAAAAAACCATCCGAAATGCCATTCATAAATTTAAATGCTTAATGAACTAAACTAATACCCATTCTGCTCCTTTTGCAGCCAAATCCTACAACGTGAGGATGGATACTGAACGTCCTGTCATTGCTGCTCCTAAAGCCAACACTTCACCTCAGGCCAACGACCTCTTCAAGTGCCCAAAGAAAGTCTAACTGAATAGCAATAGTTTAAAAAAAAAACTTGCCTTTCACATCGTTTCTCTTACATTTTTAAACTTTATTACACTCTTCATTAAAACACACAGCTTCAGCTTGGACCGTGATTACAAAAGGTACTTTACAAGTACATTAAAAACATAAGCCAAACAAATAAACTACAGGCTTCAGAACAAGGGAACAACTATCAAGACTGAATAAAGAATCTGGACTCTCTGATTGGAAAATATGTAATGTGTTTTTTGAAGGGAATGACGAGTTGTCCAGTCATTGTCGTCAACTTTTCTCATTAGTGCTTCATCGTGCAAAGCGTCTTCCGTGTATACCCCGAGAAGGAAATGCTTGACCTGTTGATATATAGAAGATTTTTTAAATGAAGCAGGCTATAATGATGTAAAAATTCTGAAGAGTGGTTGTATAAAATATGTTAAACAAACATACGGAGAGAATCTGAGCATTTCCTCTGTTACTGTGTGAAGTAATAATACACCAACATGTATTGAATGCTATGACTTGTAATTAAAATGAAACAAATACTTTGCCAGGATTTGTGTGAACATTGACTGTTGGTCAGCACAAGTCATCTGTGCACATATACGTGTATAGCTACCAAACATGTTGCATTACAAGTCAGTGAATAAGGGACATAGAAATAAGTTTGAGCTGCTCTAGTACTACTTTTAGTACCACTTTTCAGGCATGCAACAACTTGCAAAAATATCATATTTTATTATATTGTTTTTTTGTACAAGTCTAGAACAAGATGACCTTATATCTGAGTTATAATAAAGATGGCAGTGTTATAAAAGTCTGTGTGGAAGCCTCCTCTTTATTAGAATCAGACAAGTGTGATAAAACCCTGAGCCAATAGGACGCCCCACCTGCAACTGATTTTGATAATGTGAAAATACAAACAGTGTGTGAAACACCATAAACTTTCAGCATGTTGGCTGTTTCAAACAGACATAATTGGCATTGCAAGACAAGCTGATCAACGCCAAACACACAAATGTGCCACTCACTCTGGACGTCATTTTGTTTAACTACTCCTGCTTTCATTCACAATATCATTATCATGAGCAAATCTTTATAATACATTTGTGATTCTTTCGTTGGAGACACAAAATTAGCCAGTTAGGTTTTGCTATTAATACTGAAGAGATTTTAATGTATTTTATACATTTTTAAAACATTTTTCCCAAGGCTAACACCTTTGTTTATTAAGCTGAAAATGAGCCATGGACTTAATATACACATGGGCATTATGGACCTAGACCTGTTTATTGTAGTGATAAGTATAAGCTCTATAAATACCCAATCAGCTGTGTATGCTTTTAAATGTTACCTCCTCTCTTCATACGGCCCCCGCGGCTCTCTGGCCAGCGCTGCAGCTGCCTGCTGGGTCCAGGTCTCGAGGGTTTAGGCGGAGCACTGCTTGTATCTAGAAAAACACAAGATGTGCAGTTAGAACTGAACACTAAAAATACACAACAAGAGAAGTTACATGACAGACATTCACTGATGGAAACGCTGCACAGTCATGAAGCTATACTGTACCTGCAGAGCTGGAAGAGGGCTCCTGGCTGGTGGATGGGAGGCTGCCCTTGTCAGAGGGCTGACCTGGCTCTTCCACATCTCCCTGAGACACCACTGGATCCACTGACACTTCAGCACTGGGCCTGGGACAAACATACCAACACACAAACCAGAAAATACAGATAAATGATGTAGTCATGCCATCTCAAAACCACCTGTAAATGTACAAAAACAAAAACCCTAAGACACACCTTTTATAAACACTGTAATTTTCACTATAAATAAAGTTTTATAGTTGATTCAAGTACTGATATGAACAGTGGAAAGAAGGTCAAATGGCAACAAACACTGAATGCTGCAGTTACAGGCCAGGGGTCTGAATTTACCAGCTGGCAGCGGAGTGAGTCTCACCTATCAGTGTCAGGCTCCAGGAAGACATCGTCTCTCTCCTCCCCTGTACCGGCTGCTCCTGGCACCACCAGGCCCGGTGTGGACGTGCTCACCATGGGAACTGACTGGGAGGCGTGCTCAGTGGTGTCAGACTGAGCCACCTCGGAGAACACTGTTACTGGAAATGATGGACATAAAAACACGATACTGATTCACTCACTCTCATTTCAGCACCTGATAGTACTTCCAAATCTGAACGTTTTGCAACCAGTTCACTGACTGTTTTCAGAAAATGTAATCTGTAACTGGGCTGAGTATGTTGATAAAAAAGAACTGCTCCCTCCGTATCGGACTGACAGACACAGAGACAGATACCTGGCGCTGAAACTTGTAGTGGTGTGGTGGGAACGCTGCGTCCTCCAGACTCTTCTTCATGAGTTGCTAAGAACAACGGGCTTTCATACATTCCAAGACCTGAAGACAAGAATCGTTTTCCATTAAAAAAAAAAAAAAAAAAATTGGGTTGCAGTACGCTGGTGGGGTGTTTTATGCTGTTTTAGAGAACCTCGGTACAACACATGGCAGTGGCGTACCTCCTTGTGATGCGAGTTGTCCCAGGTCAGAGTGCGAGGAGGAGCTGGTCTGAGGCATGTCCTCTGAAGGACCAAACCGGAAGCGAGGCACACCAGCCACTTGAGGAGAACTGACAAACAAACAAACAAACAGAATAATCCAGTGCCATAAAACTGCGGACTGATAACGGTTAGAGGAATTTCAGCTTCTTTTCCTCAACTTTTTCTGTTTATTTCAGAAATCTCAAAATATACACTCAAACAGCCGAATAAATAGAATCCAAAAGGTAAACACCAAAGACCATAGTATAGAGGTCGGTATGAAAATTTGATCTAAAAGATACATTGATTTTAAGTTTTTGTTACATCTCAAATGTTTACTGGGTGTTCTGACTTCCTGGTGTGTGAGGCTTACTGGATGGCCTGGTCAAAACCATCGCGGTGTGGTACTACCAGAGTGGGAGTGCTGGGAACCATCCGGTCATCATCATCGAAGAAGTGCTGCTGCAGAGGAACAGACGACAGAAAAGTGTTGGATACAAATTCACACAGAAACACAGCAGTCAAAGTGTCACACTGACATAAATAACATAGTGACTGTAAATTCTCTGATTGTAGAAGTGACTCACAGCGCTGACCGGCACCCCGGGTGTGAGCTGAGGGACTCTCCCTACTGACTGCCGACGAACAGGGATACGCTGTGAAAGTAGATAGTAAAAATCTTTTTATCAGTGCTTGTTGTTTACACATAGAGATGACATTATCGATCAATCTCTTCATGAAATACCCCCCCCAAAAAAGTAGAAAACTGGCGGTTATAATTTCTCACAGCCCAAGGCGATGTCTTTAATTGTCTTGCTTTGTCTGACCAACAGTTTAAAATCCAGATATTCAGTTTACTGTTGCATCAATAATTTAATTCTTGCTAGAAACAGCAAATGTTTGCATTTTTGCTTTGAAAATTGACCAACATTATTCTTTGATTACCAAAATGGTTCATTATGCTGATTAATTTTCTGTTGTGTGACTTATAATCAAGTGTAATCAATATTGTGAAGAGCAAAGGAAAAATACAATAAAATTGTATCTATTGATCCATAAAAAATAACAATCAAAAAATAATAAGACAGTATGATGTCCTTCATTATAATTAGGGGCTCCTCCTTAATGAAAACACATTACTCCTCCTTCATATCTGAACCTGAGCAGGTGGTCCTAGTTCTGATGTTGGAGCAGGGTGGATGTTCAGGCGTGGGGGCAGCTGATGCGTTGGTCTCCGTGGCGACTGGGGCATGCGTGTACCAGAGCTTGTGATAGGTTGTTCTGTGGAGAAAGCTTCCATCGTGCTGCCCTCAACTAAAACAGGATAAAAAGGGTTCAAATAAACAAAGGTCCATTTAACTTGAAGTAAATACATTGGATCAGAGATATAAAACCTGTCAGCAAAACAATTTAAGATAAAACAATGACACTAGTCTTGGTAGATTTTAACACTGCACAAATCACATATGAGGTCAATTAATTAACTTTTTAAGGGTGCTGAATCAAACCATCAGGACTAATTCAACCAAATTCATTGCATTTATTCATAATGGACTTTTTTTAAAGAGGAACAAAATGTGCAGAATGTTTTGTAGGTTTTGAATATCTGTATGAATGATCAGTATGGCATGTTGTCATTATCATGGAAGGAGCAGTGTACACTGTTTGTCTGATGTTGTTTTGGTTGACAAATATGTAGTGTATAATATACAGAGTAGGTGCTATAAATGCAATTTTTTCTACTGTAAAATTTTGCTGGGTGTAATTATTTGTTGGCTGTTTTTTCTATTATTTTATTCCAGATTATTTGTGTGATTATTCACTGACTGAAATAAATTTAAATTTTCAGAAAACTTCAAATTGCATTTGAAACTGTGGTTGGTTTCCTAATGGAACCAATATTGTATGTTCTTGGGCCACCTAACTGCCAAACGTACTCAATTTGGGTTTTACAGTTAAGATCACTCGCTATATAGGGCTACACCTAGTTTCATTTTCAAAGTAATGCAGCCTTCATGAAAATGACCTTTATTTTGGCAAATAGTTGCGTCGCTCTTCCTTTCAGACAGACAACAACATATTACATGTTTCTCAGTCATCGTATCAAATGTCAGATAACTAATTGGATGGCGGGACAGTTTGTGAGTACATGGATGTACGTATGTGCGTTTGACAGAGTTTCCTGGATCTTACAGCTGGGTGTCTGGGAATCTGCTGGCCTCTGGGTGGAGTCAGACGCCCCCAAACTCTCCTCTGTCTCCGTGCCCGGGTCTGTTGCATCAGCTCCCTGAGAAAGGAAAGAACAAAAGGAAATAATAAAGGGAAGAGGTGGTTAAAGAAACAGAAAACCATGAGTAGAATTGTAAAAAGTTAAATGGGGTCAAATAAAAACAAAGCCAGAAAAAAAGGAAAAGTGGAGATGAGCAGCCAAAAAAACAAAAAAAAACAGGAGTTGAGTAAAATTACAGGAAGCAGGTTATGGGATGGTTCCCACACAGTATAGATGCCAGGATATAGTGGCAGAACACCAGACTATGATTATGATTCATTTTCTCCCTATATGTAACAAAGATGCCGTTCAGAGAATTCCAGTTAAAAATCATCTTTCCATATGTGCCGATTTGAAATTAGAGGAAATGTACAGAATCCTGCACAATTTAATGAGGAAATAGTTTC